TGTAATTGAGAGGGAGAGAGAAAGAGAGAGAGGGCTGGCTGAGAGGGGGGATGTTATTTTAGGGTTTGAACCGGGTATGGGTTGCGGGTTTGGATAACGGGTTCGTTTTTTATTTTCATTTTGCTTTTTTTTGTGTTCAAAAAGCTAGGCGGCCCACTTAAGCAGCCCGCCTAGCCCTAGGCGGCGCCTAGGCAGAGCGGACGCCTAGACCGGCCGCTTTGGCCAAAAATAAGCAGCTGCCGGTCCGCCTAGGCTGCTTTTTATAACATTGCATCCAACTAACAAAGTGTATCATATAAATATGCCACAGACGTTGATGAAGGTTTGACCGGATTTCTAATTTGCTTACACCAGCCATACAAGAACAATTTCTCAAATATAAGAATTCAGGAGCCTTTTTCCTAGAACAACATTCAAATGAATCCTATAGTGCTGTATAGATATTGGTTGATTGTTTATGTATATAGAAAGGGCAATTTATTTGACTTATGGATTGCATTGAATCTTTCACCATGCAAACCTGATTGTGGAATTGCTTATGCAGGTTCTAGAGACTCTAAGCAAAAATTGTGGAGAGCATGTTCATTTGCAGATTGTTGAACGTGACATCTTGCGTGAAATGGTGAAAATAGTAAAGAAGAAGGTACTAATTCACATTGCTCACTTTAATGGATGTGTTTTAGTTCTTGAGCCATCTCTATTTAAGATATAGCTGAACAGTCTTTTTACTGCAGCCAGACCTAAATGTAAGAGAAAAGATATTGATTCTCATTGATACTTGGCAAGATGCTTTTGGAGGAGCAGGTGGGAGATACCCACAGTACTATGCTGCATATCAAGAATTAAGGGTAGGCTTTTATTCATCTTCTTCCTGACCTATTCTTGATATTTGAAGTGTTGTGCTGAACAAATTTATCCTTTGAAGCTTTTCAAGTTATATGTCCTGCACTGTTTGTAATAATTTGTAATGGTTATTGAAGCACGCTAACTATTCTCTTTGTAATGTTTCTTTTTATTTCTATATTCTATTTTCCCATGCTATTAAAAGCATTTCATAATGTTTCCATTGGCAGGCTGCAAAAGTAGAATTTCCACCCCGTAGAGAACACAGTGCACCTCTGTTTACACCTCCTCAGTCTCATCCAATTGTGCCTCAATCTGTTGACTTATCATATGAGGATGCAGCTTTAGAAGCTTCTCTTCAAAGTGATGCTTCTGTTTTCAGGTGCTTGTTCTGTAAATACTCATGTTTTCCAGTTCTGTAAGTCTACATGTTCTCTGTAAATATATATGCTTTTAACTCCATGTAAATTTCTTTGGAAACTGGAAATATGGCATAACTATTTGAGATGTAGTTTTGCCATGGTGCGATATATGATGTTCTTCATAACAGCCTACTAATTATTTAACTTCAAATTAAAGAAAAACTATAACCTGATGAATGTCTAAGCAGAAGCAAAGCTGATTTTGGATATTGGGGATGATTGCCTGCAATTTCATAGTTTAGCTCCACGTCTGTATGGTTAGAGTCAGAATTTAGCGGACTCCAATGGATTTTGGGTTCTTTGAGATTTAGCAGCTTCGGTGAAACAAAAATGATCCTGGCAGAAAGAAACGATCAGGTCCTTTCTTTATATCCAAAATTCACTAAATGTGAAACCTAAGTAATATTTGTTACTCAAGAAAGTTACATGTAACGTAAGTGGTGTCATTTCTGGGAAGCGATAGGAGCGATTTTCTTTCTATATATTATGTTGTGGGATGAGTGGTGACAGACTCTGTGCTCATATCAGGAGTGGCTAGCAGTGAAGCTAAGATAGTGAATGTAGAAAAATATTGTAACACACATGCATTATGATTGTGATTTGTGAACAACCATATTGGGTTATGCACATGAATTGCAGTATGGCTGATTAGTCACACAGTGGTGAAAGCTAAACTGTTTCTGTATGAATATTCATAGGAGAAGGTGGGTCTTTGAACCGTTGCTGACTTGCTTGTTCATTTACTAAAAGATTGGTAATTGTCCCTGGAACCTGGGCATACGCAAAAATTTTCCTATGCTGCAACCTTTTATATTTAACGACTATAATCATTTTAGCACATGCATGTTAAACTATAAAAAAAGATCCTGTGAGGTGATTCCTGGATGATGGTCTCATCATATCCATCATATTCGCAGATAAATGCTGACAGTCATATTGAATCACGGTCGTGAGAATTTCTGTCATTTATCATGTTTTGTGATCATTTGTTCTGTTTTAGTGACCAACCTTCTGTAATTTAATGCAGTTTGTGATGTGTTTAGCTGCAGAAAATGCTCCCCTTTTTCTATGCCTCCATGTTCCCTTTTGAAGTATCAAATTCTAATGTTACACAGTCCTTTCTATCCAGTTCACAGGAAATGCAAAATGCTCGAGGCATAGGAGACGTGCTAACAGAGATGCTCAGTGCAATAGATCCTCATAATCCACAGGTTAGTTTTAAACTTCTTTTACTTCTTATGTCGAGCTATGAAGCACGGACACGGCGACACGGACACGACACGGACACGGCGACATGGCTAGATTTTTTTAATATTATTATTATATATAGATCAATATTGAATGAAATTCCTATTACATTTTCATATTTTTTGTTATGTAAAGTGGAGATTATAAAAATACAAGAGGATATAGTTTTTGTTGCAACTAGTTCCATGGCTACAAAATACTAAGTTACTAACATTGCAAAAATATAAAAATTACACCCAAAAACATATCTTAAAATAAAGTTTTTAAGTTGAAACATCAAAAAGATTATTCTGTCTTCAACTCCTTCATCCTCCTCAAACACAACGGCCTCCATCGTGGGCTCGTCAAGAGAAAGTGTAGCAACATCTAACATGCCGGCACCTTGAAATGAGTCGAAAGCATCTCCACCAATATCCCACATTCTTGATTCCCCTTCCGTATAAACTTCGAGAAAGTAAGCAAAGATTGGTGTGAACATAAACAATATCCTCCGCCTGTGCCGGGGTTAGCTTGTTCCTCTTTAAGGAGTGAATGAAACCATACGTACTCCAATTCCGTTCACAACAAGAAGAGGAACAAGGTTGGCGTAGAAGCTTTACGGCCAATGTTTGCAAATTTGGAGTACTTGCACCATAAAGAAGCCACCATGCATTTGGATCCATATGTCCTCTATCGGAAAGAGAATCTGGATCACTAAAAGCCTCTAAAGACCCCACAAACTTAGCATATTCCAAGTTCACCGCCCGTCGTTCATCGGGGTTAGAATAGTATCTTCTTAAGCACTTTGCTCTTTCCGTAGAGATATCAAGATCTTGATTTGGAGCTTGTCGATTGACGTTTTCATTGAGCCATGTGGAATGATAGTACCTATGTTCGCTAATAACATGAATTAGCCCACAAGGTATTAATTAATTGAAATATTCGCATTAAAGAGTAAAATGTGAAATATTACCTTGGAACTAAAGAGTGCCAAGCATTGAAACGGGGTGTTGCCCTTGTTCCATCGATCCACCAAGATCTTGTGAACCACCTTATAAAAAGGAGATTCCTCGTTATCCTTTTTACTCTCATGCCTATAAATAGCTTGCTTCACCTTCTCAATCATTGTATCCCACATATCATACACCAAATAAAAACATGGTGTATTGGTGTCGGTGACTCTTATCATTTCATAGATTGGGTCAGTGAAGTCAAGAATAAAATCTATATTGTCCCTCCACAAATCATCGAGGACTCTCTCTTTCACAAATTGAGCTTTCCCCACATTATCTTCTCTATACAAGCTCCATCGATCACTAAAGACCATGTCTTAGAGGCCTCTCTTGACGACCTTAAACCTCTTCAACATAATAATCCACGAGGTAAATCTTGTGCCGGCAATCGATAGGAGCTTCATCTTTGAATAATCATTGAACATGGAAAGCCGCATAGAGTGGTTCATGATAAAATTCTTCATAAGCAATGCATCATCAGAGATCTCTGTAATCCAATGTAATTGTGCATAAGCCACGACATTTGCTTCTGTGTTCTTAGCCGCACAAATATTCTTGATAGTAAGATTGAGTGTATGGACTACACAAGGAGTCCAAAATATGTGAGGTCAAGTGCCCTCCACAAGCCCTCCCGCGGCCTTGCATGCCGAAGCATTATCGGTTATGATTTGGATGACATTTTTTGGTCCCACCTCTGTGATGCACTTTTCTAGCTGTGCTTGGATAAAATACTTATTCTTGACTTTTCCCTCGACATTTGTTTACCCTCACATACCGTCATAAAATTAATGATGGGCCTCTTTTGTGCATCCGTCCACCCATCACTACAAATGGAGACCCCTTTCTGTTGCTATGTGTCTCTGATGGGCTCCATCAACCTCTCTACGTAAGTTTTCTCACGTTGTAAGGCAGTGGTCCTCATGGAATTGTAACCTGAAGGCTTTGAAACTGAGATTGGATTGATTGCGGCATATGCAAAAACATTGACATAATATGGATTTCTTGTCAAGTTGAAAGACAATCCCCCGGTGAAGAACATCCTACCAATCAATGCATCCAATTCCTCCCTTGCTCTCATGTTGAATGCTCGTTCCACGGTATTAGGTCCCCTCCTCTTAGATTCACCTGCACGAATTGACATGCTTGCACTTGCACCTACACCGGCCGTACTTGCAGTCGAAGATGTAGGCAAAACTGGCGTCTTAGGCCTAGAACCCCTCAACCTCTCCTCCGCTTGATCCAACGTCCTGTGAAACTCCCTTAGGTTTTCGGGTGTTGACTTGAAACACATCTTAATTTCAGTCCCGCTTATCCTCAAGAGGTGATTTTTAACTCTTGAGTGTGAACCGGTACTCCTCTGCAATAATTACATTTCCATCTTCAATTTCCTCCTGCCGTTCCCCCCCCCCCCCCC